TTGTATGGCAGCCAATAAAACTGCAAATACAGGATCACGTTCTGCTCCGCTTTAGCCTTTCCCCAAAAAAGGTAATATCACATTTTGTAGCACCATCATATTTACCAATCAAACGAAGTTTATTCTGCGAATGTAATGACATATGAAAGTTCTATCCATAAGGCAAATGCCATGCTTTTCTCAAATGATTTCAATTCTGATGACAAAATGTTCGATCAAGATGGAATCGTTCTGCCCATCTACCCATAAGGCAATTATCATGCTTTTCTCAGATGTTATAGTTTACATATTATTAAATTCTGTTCGCATATTATTATTATGGTTTACGTAATATTAAAGTCTGTTCGCAAGTGTTTACATTACCTTTCAATACGAACAAGCATAATTCACAATGTCACTCGCACCAGAGCAAAAAGTTATTGTTACGGCTATAATTGAATATGCTAATAGAATTACAGAACGAAATATTTCCCTACCTTGGCGATGACAACCAGAAATATGATTTTAAAACAGTTTCACGCGACGCTTTTTAAATGCTGTGCTCGATACTCTAAAGCCTATTATAACACGGCCGACAGAGATAAATTAGACGTTGTAATCGAAGGGTTTGCACCTGCTGAAGTCAGAAAGAGACTTCCTAATGTAATAGGTGCGGTCGACGATTCCCATATTCCAATTAAACGACCATATCACAACCGCTATATCAACAGGAAAAATTTCCACAGTACAGTCAACCCTCTCTAAATGCGCACTCTCTAAATGCACACCCTCTCTAAATGCACGCCCTATTCTATTCCCAAGCTCAGAAATAAATGCACACCCTCCATGCACGGTTTTTTCCATCATAGTAATAGTATTTTTTAAAGCAGTATTACTGTTACACTTCTTAGTTAACATTGATAGCCAAATTTTATGTAACTTTAGCTAGAATTATAATAAAATAGACGCAAATCGTTAAAATATCTTCCTAATAAGGAAACCATCCGTAAATGCATCGTCCCAAGGTGTTGCATTTATGGAGGACTCACTTTTAATAACTAACTTAAATAATAAATCTAATTAATTCATCCGTCCAGTAGTGCCAATACTAATAAGACGTGCTACCCGTTTAACATGTGTTGGAGCGTCTTCTAAGTAATTAGAATAGCTATCAATATTCCCTTTAATCAACTTCCGTAATTCTTTGACATCAGCTTCATAGTATCTGTGAAATGATGCGTATTAGCAATGTTTCAATAAATAACAGATGCAATAGGTTTCATATGCTTACACAATATCGGGAAACCAGCATTTTTTTCGCCTTTGTGATGGGAGCATATAAAACAGCTCAATTTCTGCTAAAACCTATAGACATTTATTTAGACGTTATAATTGATTCTGACAAATTATATCTTGAAAGAATATCATTCACAAACTCACCTCAGCTTTCTGAGCCAAGTATGAGCTTCGTTCATGATAAAGATTAATAGCGTTACTCAATAAACCGATGAAAAGATTCAAAAGATAAATGACCGTAAAAAAAGAGAATGCCACTATGAGTAGCGCGAGCGTTGGATTGCTTCTAATACTCCAACCAGAGAATGAACTCAAATCTCCTATAAGAATAGGATCAGCCATTATTTGTTATCTTATTTCGACGAAATAAACACACAAATAATAACGATTAAAAACTCATACCCGTGAGCACCATATAAGTACCCCAGAGAGCCGTACCAAAGTGTGAATATACGTTCGTATTCTCATCTGGTGTCTGTAAAAAGGCAAGCTGAGAATTAATGCTCCCATCGTCGTTCACAGCGTTGAAAGTCGTGGTCAGGTGCCATGGATTATTTGGGTCATTATCATTAAGGCCTGGTGGTGTGTCCACTGATGCTCCTGGCTGTGGTTTCAGCAGTATAAAGAATGCGTGTGCAAACCCAAGAATCATTATTCCAAGTACAATCAAGAAAGAAAACACTTGTTGCGCCACACCAATCATTATTGAAATATAGATCCCAAAATATTCAAAGGGTCTAAGCAAGACGAGTAACTTGGTCCACATAAGCAAAGCAGCTATTGGTGTCACCCATTCCGGAGCTGTAGTATTGCACAACAAATAGAACGCGGTGATCAAAGGCAAACCGAATGCTCCACAGTCTGTAATAATAAGTGTACACTTGTCAATATTAAGCATCATATCAACAAACTGTTTATGACAATGACTTACCGATCCAATTCCAAACTGATGTAATATATCTGCTTGGGCTCCATATAAACTGCCTTAGCTCAAAGTGAATATGCCAACAGCCAGTTAAAACTGTTGCATATAAAAGACGTCTTCTACGATCCTCTGCCATGAATTCTTCAGTATGACTAACCACGAGCGAAAAGAGAAGGAAGTACACAAGGAAAGTAAAGCCTATAAACTTGTAATACATTGAACCAAAAGTTTTCCATTTGAAATTGATTATGGCTTCGCCATCCCATGTTTGATAAAACACTGATTTGTTGTTCAATGTACCATTAACAAAGGGACTTGAAGCTGGAAAAATAGCATCTCGCCAAAAAGAATAGTTCTCGGGATAGTTGCAGTATTTAGGTAACGGTACAATAAACGTTAAAGTTGATCTTCTTGTTCCATGTACGAAATATTTATGAATGGCAAGATAGGGCTTATACAAAATGTGAGATGTAGTCTTCAGAACAGCCATGGTTCTAAAGAATCTTTGCAGCCAGTGTATCCAAAAAATTCTGAATGTTGAAGCTTCTTTGATTTCATCTTCCAGCAACTCCAATCGTAATGGTAGACTGACTGAACAAGTCAGGGCGTCCTGGCTGTGAAACTTACTAGTGAACGCGTACAAGTGACTTGGGGAAATGGGTAATCGATTGACAAATTCGCAGTTTGGATCTAGTACCAACACGGATTTCGGAAATAAACCAAATACCATGTCAGAAAATAGTTCACTTACTTCTGGAAGTGACGGAGTTATAATTCCCATGTATGCAATATGTGTAACTGAGTAAGTATGAAGTTGGTCAAAGCAAGCCTGAAGTATATTCTCAACGACGATCCCATCGTTCAGAGCGATGATACTACTTAAAATTTCCTTTCCGTAAAAAACAAGATTTGTAGGGTTTATCATTTTTCGATACAGCCTGTCAAAGGCTCTTTGACAGTCCGGAGATCGTGCCTCGAGTGTTTTCTGCACGTGCCACCAGACGGTCTTTGCGCTTGGCGGAGGCCAAAACACATTATCGAATTTCTGCAGAATCCTCTCGACAACTTCATCAGCCACGATACAATTTTCCATGCCGTATCCGAGATCATCGTCCCAGAAATATCTCATGTGGATGGTTTCATCTGACAAATAGAAAACGCATAGTCCTCTATCACATATAAGTGCCAAATCATCATTACTCAAAATTGTGCAACTCCTAACGGACCCAAAATATTTTAGAGCGTGAACGTTGACGGGATATTTGTCTGATTTATTTTGATACACACTAATCCCAGAATTAGCTGAAACATGCCAGATCACTTTTAATCCCTCCAGTCTTCTGCCTTTTTCATCGAGTGGTTTCAATTTCGCATCTTCATGAGCGAGTGCCCTTATCATAATCGCGCTAGGGATAACACTCAGAAGTGATTTTTGAATTTTTTGAAAACTTTGTCGGATAATCGGTATACTTCGAGGTTGTCCATCGTCAACTACGATCAGGATGTGACCATTAAGAACGAAATTTATCCCTGGTTTCCAGCTGCCTAAAAGAATATGTTCACTGAGGTCAATGGTTTCGAGCGGATTGCTTTCGTTCTTACTTTCAACAGCTTCCGTTTGTTTTTCCGACTCATTGAAAGGATCCCATAAAATTGCCGTTCCCATATCCGTAATCATTACGAGGATACAGCAATCCTCATCTCTTATAAAATCCATGGCCACTATTTGCTCATCATTCCTCGTTGTAACGTATGTGGTATTGAGCGGTATTTCATTCTTAATCCAATATATAGTCAGCTTTTGAGAATTAGGCCGTCCCGTCACCAGAGCTGACAATAAATTAGATGGATCCACAGCAAACAAAAATTTCGTCACATCATTCATCAAATCTACATTTGAGATCGTAATATCATCACAAAAATATTGCACTTCAAGCTTAGAAGTATAGATATCCCATTGAGTCAAATGACTATCATATCCGCACACCAACTTATCTTTGATTATAAAGTATCTAAACCGTTCACGTGACCTATCTTTAACGTGTTTGTAGTCTGTTTCGTGAGTCCAGTCGAGTAAGCATACGTCCTCTCGCACCCATTGGCGATTATTTTCCTTAAAGCGATACAATCCCACATCATCGTAGTGCATTGCCGCAACGACTACAAGCTCACCAGCGGAAAGAAATGCTTCACGATAGCTAGGACGTAACCGCAAAACGTAATCCGGCAGTTTCATGAGAGACTCCTGGGTTGAGAGATTTGCGGATGGATCACAGGGATAATAGACTAAGTAGTTTATATAAAAATTACTTCAGCTATGAAAATGTCGTTAACGAAATACAACTCAATTAGCATCCTTACCACTATTAAACATGAAAGATTGTTTGTCAGAAACAAGTAATTCTGGAAGGATGCTTTTCTCGGTAACCACCGTAGTCTCACAAAGTTTAACTATACGTTCCTTTCCAACCTCAATTGACCATATAACGACTGATTCTGACTCTGCACTGTAAGTCGCAAGGCAACTTCCAAGCGGGGATATGGCACATTTGATAATCGGGCATCCTCCATGTGCGATAGTATCTTTGGGCGGAGTGACAGGATCTATTGAATATGAAATAGGATTGCTTACAATCACATTTGTCTCAACCTCGGGGACATCTATGGTTATATTCTCATGGGCAGGAGTACTCATTCCTGCTTTCCTCGCCTCTTAGAGTGACGGAAAATGGGTCAACGAAATACAATTGTCAGAGTGTCGAAGCAATGGCACACTCACTATGCATTTTCTCCCACTGAAGTATGCATTTTATAAAAATTGATCTTTAAGTAGCATTCTACAATGTGTAACCGCTATTTATCTTAAACAATGCGTGTTCGCAGAACAGCGATAAGACAAGGTCACAAGTGCCTAGTTTGTAGCAACTATCACAGCATCACAAACACAAATATGACGCAAGGAGTTTGTACGCATTCATTACTTGAGCAAAAGCTTGGCGTAAATATAAAAGCAATTCGCCTGAAAATCCTATTATGCATTGATTGGATGGAGTTCGTAACACCTAAAAAGTATTTCTGCTCTGCTATTATTATTTATATTATTGTGTGGGTATGCTCGAAAACTCAAACAATGCAAGCGTTGATACTAGACGAGACGGATTCCGCAATGAGTGAATTAATGCAAAGGACAAAACTATCAAGAGCTTTAACTACAATTACAATATTCAGATACCTTAACCTTGGTAATAATAACAACGCTTACAGTACATTAAAACCTATCATTATGAATAAATCCTGTAAGGCTCCCGCATCAGCCTAAGCAGTGTAGTGTGCCTACGCTGACTCCTTTTTGTAAGATATTGCGAGCGCCGTTAATATCTCTATCAAGCATTGAGGACAGCAAAGTACCTTAGGTCCACCTTGCCGTCTATAAATATAACCACAAGTTTTGCTTATATATTCTTTACTACAGTGAACTCTCCCTACATGAACTCTCCCTAAATGCACGCTCTCCCTAAATGCCCTATTTGATATTCCCAACTCAGGACTTTAATGCTAAATGCACACTCTCTATATTCTTCATATTATTATTATTGAAAGATCATGACAATGAGAGATCTTGTCATATTATAACTGACTCGATTCCGGGAAATAGCATCATATTAGGCCAACTTTATCTTATCGAAGGGTCCTCTTACTGTGTATGATTATATGCTCACCGGCAAAAAGTATCGACTCAAATCTTGGTGTAACACAACATCGCATAAAACAGTGTTACCTTCGATGGGCTATTCTTCCACGTCTAGGTTGAACTGTTACCTGTTGCTTATCACGAGTAACTTGCGATTGTGTAAGTTCAAGGGCATCAGCAATCTCGCGGGTCTTTTTACCGCATTCCCATTGTCCAATTACTCTCCCTCGTTCAAAATCCGAAAGTTCTTTATTTGTTGGCATTTTCTATAAGATATAAGAGTTAAAAAGGTGAGAAAAATTTCAGTTGATTTGATAAGGGAAAACGCAGTTCAAAGATTATCAAGTTTTACGATTTCGTGTAACATCATACATTTTGAGTCGATACTTTTTGCCGGGTAATAGATGCCAAAGCCCTTGTAATTCCTTGAGGTCTGCCATAGTTCTATTAATCGTATGAATTTATTCGATATCCAAATAGATAATAACATCGAAACCATAGATTATTAATTGTGGACAAGATGAAGCTAAATAACTAATACTTTTTTGCGAGCTTCTTCAATTTTGTCAGCGAATGTTGATGTGGGATTTGGATCAATGCAGGAGGCTTTGTTATAATTCCGTTAGGAATTTGAGAACACAGATGACAGCAACTCATCGGAACAGGACTTTTTTTGAGACCGAAGGGAGTTGGCTTTTTACTAAAAGGAGAAAATTTTGATATTAGTTCAAGGAATATTAATATTAGTTTATTGTCCACTAACTACTTATTATTACTGTTAGTCCTCGCTTCAAAGTTCGGATACCTTGTGTTTGACGTTCACGTATAGGTGCATCGGATAATTTCTGGGGATTGTCGAAAACGCGCACATGTATCAAAAAAGAAACCAAAATTTGGTGTGCTTGCCGATCCAGATCTATCAAAAACGGAACTCCTGGGTGTATCAAAACGAAACTTTTGGAGCCGTGATATGCGACGATTGTTTGTATAAATCACATGATTGGATGAGTATTTACTGCATTTTGCACTAATACTAACCTTATTTAGAAATGAATAAAGAACGTGACTGTGACTCGCAGCGTTAATTTTTTATAGCAACATTTTACTCAATCTGCTGTACAGTATTCCGTTTTTGATAGAATATAGACTCGTGTTTAGTACTTGAACAAAAAAAGCTGCGGCCGACTTTTAATAATTTCCCAAAGCAAGTTTTTGTTATAACAATTCACATGCTTTGAAATAATAATGATTGAATGAAAATCGCGGGTTTATAATCTTTATTGCAAAATTTCCGTTAGAGAACTAGTTCGTTTTAATTCTTCTCATACATTCTCAGGGATTCTCCTGTGATATATATTTTTTAGCAGCATATTCCGCTAACTTACCTGTCTGTACAAATTCATATATCGCCACGTTTTTCGCGCAAGTCTTCATGTTGTTATAAATCACTGACTTCATTATTTTCCCACTTGATAAATCATCGCTCAATCCCATCTCAGCAAGAGATTGTAATAATATTAATATTGATGTATTATGGCATATTAATATAGTTTGACTGATAAATTTCGCTATATTGGCCGTTATACTTTTCAGATGACCATTACTGTCCTTATGCTTCAAAATACCAGTTTTTCAACATTATATCATACAGTTGAGACTGATAACTTTGTATTTCTTGCTAGCTCAGACACAGAACGGACACCCCGTTATTTTAATAAGTGATAAGGCATACATCCTTTGTTTGTAAGCATTTGTTGACATTTTGACAGTGAAATTTGCAAACGTTTGTTTATTACTATGCTTTTATTTATTTAAGACGCGTAATAAAAGCTTGTTGTTTACATTTTAATTAGTAAAATATGACGCAAATTGAGTTAGGTTAATCTTCCCCCCGAAAATAGTTAAGTTTTTCTGTCACAAAAAAGTTATTACCAATGAAAAATAAAATCCAGAAAACATCAAAAAGCATACAGTCAACTCTCCCTAAATGCACGCCCTTGGGAATGAAAAGTTGAGAGCGTGCATTTAAGGATAACAATGAGTGTGCATTTAGGGAGTTTGTATTAGTAAATCACGTGATAACCGAATATAATAATAATCATTGCA